CTCTATTATACGCATCTTTCAACAACCCAACAAGTGCATGTTACATGGACTGTTTCTCACTGGTTCTCACTTGACATTTAAATAAAGGCATACAGTAATACATCTAATTATCATCTCTTTCGAGAATGCATTATCTTCCTCCTTCTGGGGGAAGAGGAAAGCTTCTCAGTGATGATCAAAAGCTTGCGATTGTAGAAATGGTTGTTGCAAATAATGCAATAAAATTGCATGCAACTAAAACTAGAATTGTGGAGGACCAGGAGATATTTGAAAATATATCATAGCATCAGCCTCACAGCCACTATGGAAACATTGTCCAAACTCAGTTGGGATGAAGCAACTACACTGTTCTCTTTGAGAGGAACAGTGGGAGTCAAGGAGCTGCAACAATATACCCAAGTATGGTACTGCATATAGAAACTTCCGCCGCGACAGATATAATGCACCATGACGTGCCTGTAGAGATCTCACCACTAAACGTGTGGTGAGATCAAATCGAAGAAAAACAACATTAGAACTCAGGGCTATGTTTAATACTGAAAGTAAGCGCATTTCCACACATACAATGGGAAGGGAACTCAACTGGACTGAACAGCTGTGTAGCCGTAAGAAAACCCCTAATCAGTGAGGCTAACCGGAAAAAAAGGTTTCAATTTACTAGGGAGCATAAAGATTGGACTGTGGAGCAATGGAAGAAGGTCATGTGGTCTGATGAGTCCAAATTTACCCTGTTCCAGAGTGATGGGCGAATCAGGGTAAGAAGAGGTGAAGTGATGCACCCACCATGCCTAGTGCCTACTGTACAAGCCTGTGGGGGCGGTGTTATGATCTGGTTTGCTGCAGTTGCTCAGGTCTAGGTTCAGCAACAGTATGTGCTCAAAGAATGAGGTCAACTGACTACCTGAATATACTGAATGACCAGGGTATTCCAACAATGGACTTTTTCTTCCCTAATGGCACAGACATATTCCAAGATAACAACTGAAATTAAAATGAGGTGTTTATGCATCCATGTCATACATTGAATTTTTTAATTAAAAATAGACAGATTTTTTCTAATTTAAAATCTAAAGTGTTTTTATAAGTAGCGAACAACAATAGTTTGGTATAATTTCCTGATTCACATATTTTATAAAACACCTGAACTGACTGTTTTTTCTTTCTATTTTCTGGCTTATTGAGAGCAGTGGGGTTTAGGCTGCCCTGCAAGACTTTAAACCTGGGTTTGAATGGAGACAAAGCCATTCTCAAGCAAATATCAAGGTGCTCATTTTGAGCTTGGATCCATATTTACAGCAGCAGGTTGAGCCAAACATACTCAAAATGTGCAGCTCCACTCCGGTCCGGCCAGGTCAAGATCCGCTATTGCAATCACACCAAACAGGGAAAAGAACGGCGAGAAGATCTGGTTTGTCAAATTAAAATATAGTAACAACAGATTGGTAACTACAAATTAGAGCGTAATTCATATATATAAAAAAAAAAAAACTAACCTTTTGTTTAAAAGATTGGATCCAAACTATTTGTATCTCCATCAGAAACCGCACATATGCTGGATGCTGATGGGGATTTTTTTAAATATGTCATATTGAATTAAGTGTTCCTTTTTGCATGTTTTGCTCCTATGAATTTAATGATAATATCACGCATGCTCTCCTCAAGCTGCGAGGATAAGTCTAAGTGCAGCGATATGGGAGGAACAGCGAAGGCTGTAGTCTTTGCTTTGCGCAGGCGGTCTGGAGCGATGTGGGGCGGAGCAGATGTGGGATGCCGGGGAAAAAGGAGAAGCGGCGAAAGTGACGTTTAGACACTGTCCTCAGACAACATGCGGTAATTTATAAATGCTTTAAATTAGATTGGTTTGCCAGCAGGTGGATTTGGATCCGGACCACGCTCCGCTAATCCGTGACCTCTCCCAACCATCTTCCATTACAAAGTTACACCATTGCGATGTGCCACATCCACCAATCAGAGAAGCTGATCTGGGAGCTGGCAGGGAGAGAGACACATCGCTGCTGATCCACAGCACTCATCACTCCTCTGAAACAGTTTATTAACGGCTAACTTAACTTCAAATGCTGAAATCTGCCGACAAAACATGTTTGCTTTTATTATCCTGGTGCCTGCACTTTGGATTACGTACATGAAAAATGCCTTACAGGTGCTGCGACAAATCACGAAGAGGGCTGTTGAATGGGATTCCTACTGACAGCGCACCGCTGGTATTTGGGGGTCTGAGCGGCTCCCACAGAAATAATATTTGAATGCAGGGTGATAATCTGGATGAACTGACTACACTGAGGAAGTTTTCATGTGGACTTTCTCACTTAAAAATATATTTTAAACTACTTAATTCTCACTGATCACAGCAAATATAGCTGGCATTGTTACAGGAAAAGAAAGGATAGGGTAACTCCAGCCAAAGCGCATCAGACCCAATTTTCGACCGCCCCGGCTGGAGTAGCAAAGATGCTAGCATCAAAAATGTAGCAGCAAATGCGTTTTTGGTGCCCTTGCTGCTTTTGGTGTGAATGTAGCATCAGACCAAAAGCAGCAGAGGCAGCAAAAGCAGCTGGTTGACATGCCAATTCAATGGTTGATATGCATCAGGGCGCAGCAAAATGTCCCGCAGCTTGTTTTGAGCAGCTTCAACGCGCTTCAAATGCAGCTGCTGCTGGAGTTGGAAAAATTAAACTTTTGCTGCTCGACGCGCCACATCAGCCAATCAGGGGAAAACAACCAGCGACAGGGAACCAGAGATGACAGAACCAGCGACAACAGAAGCAGCAACAACAGAGGAGCCAACAAGGACTGACAGCAGAGGGAGAGTATTTAAATTGCTGACTGAGACAAAGGCAGGGCTAATGAGCTGATAAGGAGCAGGTGTGAGTAGAGAATATGGGGGAGCCAAGGGGAAAGGACCACACACAAGAGGGCAACAGAGGACAACAAAAGAAAAACCTGAGAACTAAAATAAATCTAGAAACATCAAGTAGGAAATAAACAAATAAAACACACGGATCAAAGTAAAACAGAAAGTTAGACCGTGACAGTACCCCCCACTCAAGGGCGGATCTCAGACGCCCTAAAAATGACCGGAAACAAAAAATAACCACTCAGGGTTGGCGGAGGGGGAAGGAGGGCACGAAACACAAAACCAAAGGCAGAGTCCAAATAAAAAAAAAAACTAAAAAAAACAAAAGCAACCCACCAAAGGTGGGCGAGGGCAAACAAAGTCTCTGGAGGGCGGCCATGTGGCCCTCTTAGACAGGGGGAATGCTATCTGCCGAGGTTTATAGGCCCATCAGATACCGTTCCCCCCATGTTAGACATGAAGAACGCTATCTGACGGGAATTACATGCCGATCTGATATGGTTCCCCCTATGTTAGACAGGAATTATGCTAGATAGCGTTCCCTGTGTCTTACATGGGGGGAACAGCATCTGATCGGCATGAAAACTATCTAAACAAACTGAAATCAAGCAAAGAGATATGATTTAAACCAGTCTAGTAAGGTTCCTTTAATTCTTACAAAATATTCAAGTATAAAATAATATTATGATCAACTGTGCAAAATTCAAAAACCTCCCAAGGGAGGCGTTGATGGGGAATCCAAAAAAGATATTTAAGCCACCTTAGCTTACTTCTCTCCTCATTTAGCATTGAGGTACCAGACCTGACGCAAGTGTAAGTGAAATACAGTTTTAGCTTTGTCACATGCAGTGCTGCAAAAAACTCAACTTGAAAAGCTTTTTCAGAGGTTTAACTCTGAAAAATCGAAAGGAAAATGACTTAATTTAAGGTATAAATTGTTATGTATGTATTCTACTTTTCTCTTTATCTCCGATTTTTGTGTTTCTATGAAACAGAGATGGGAGTGTCTACAGGCTTTGTAATGAAGAGTGATGCCATGGTTCAACAAGCTGCTCATTTCAAATACATCCAATGCGTAAAGACCGAAGAGGAGGATACCTTCTATTTTTCGATAAAGGGAGAGATTCTAAAAAACGTGTCAATATATTTGTTTGTTTTTTTACTCTGAAGACCTCACATCTGCAACAGGGAGGCCAAAACTGAGAAGCTTCTTTCCTCAAACCCTATTTTGCAGAAGTGTGTTTTATGATGTTAATCACCTGTTCGGTTTTAATTACCTTGTCTTCTGATTTCAGACTCTCATATGCATGAATAGGCGATTTAAGGGTGTGTTAACTTGTTTTTAGATTCTGTGACGTTGTTCCCTGATGTTTGACGCTGTAAACATGGAAAAACACCTGTTATATAAGGTCATGGGTGGAGTATTTAAAGTATAGCAGGATTCCTGAGTTTTAGTATCAAAACCGGGAGACCTAACAAACAGGATTCATCTCAACATCACTATGAAGCTGATCTTTTTTCTGACTGTCATCTGGGCTCTCTACAGCAAAGGTAACAATAATAATTGGATATTGATTTTTAGAAAACTAGCACACTAGAGCAAAAAGGGAATATTTTGTAACAATTTATATTTTATAGCTTTCTAAACTACATACAAATATATGAAAGCAAAGATATATATAAACAATTATAATGAACATTGCAAATGATCCCTAAATGTATCCCAAAACTTTTTCTCAACAGTTTTTTTTTATATATTTATATATTTAAAAATCACTTCATGGTGCTCCATTTCCTAAAACAGTTACTTAATAATAATTTTCATGACATCTTTTTCTGTTCTTGTGTTCTTTTCTTTTTCTTTTTAATGAAGTACCTTTCAGAATAAAAAAAAACCTTGGTCTTTGATTTATCTTTCTCGGAATGCAGTAAAGTTATCTTTCTCTTATTCTCCACCATGCCTTAAGTAGAGAAATCTTACTAATTATACTACTTATTCTGATGAAATTCTTTTGAAATCACCAAAACTAGAAAGTTGAGTTTTTTAATCAATCTCCATAGTGTCAGAATGTTTCCTGAAAGGTTTTGAACAATTCTTTAATTACAACTTTTCCATTGCTTGCAGCTGGGGCTCTGCAGTGCATCACCTGCACGAATCAGGCATGTTCAACCACAGCACCACTAACATGTGGCTCAGAGACGATGTGCATAACAGCTACCATTAAAGGTATTGGTGTGTTTATGTTTTACTACTTTTTATAATTGGAACTTCTGCTTTCATTTTCAGACTGTGTATGCTTTCTAATAAAACAACAAATATCCCATTGGCTTTGCAGGAACTCAGTCTGGAGTTACAGGAACACAAATCTACAAAGCCTGCGCACGATCCTCTCTGTGTCCAAGCACAGGCACTCAGACATTTTCAGTCAACTTGGGTTACCAAAGTGCAGTTGCATCTGCAGTGTGCTGCAACACTGACAACTGCAATTCACAAACTCTTCCTTGTAGGTTTCAGCATGAGTTAAAATACTGATATTCCCTTTGTGTTATGTGTGTTTAACAAGTTTCTCTTTCATCTGCGGTTTCCATTTCAGCGCCACCTACACCGCTACTCAACGCCCTTCAGTGTGTCGTTTGTGACCCCACCACATCTCAGTGCACCACTCCCATCCCATGTTCAGGAGATGAGAGCAACTGTGTGACAGCAACTTGTAAGTTTACATTTGTGATAGTTTGGATGAAATATTGCAATTCTAAAAAATACTTTAGAGCTGGAATGATTCAAAACCTAATATTAGAAGCTGAAGAAAGAGCAGTCTTCTGTTTGAATACTTGGATTGATTGTTCTTTGAAAATTAATTGGACTTACTGGAGTTTCTTTTAAATATTAACAGTAAACGATGGAACAAACACAATTCCAGCGCTGGGATGTATTAGTCCAAACACTTGTGCAGCTGCTTCAAGTCTGGGTAGTTTGCCATTCATGGAGAATGTTGGTTCGATAACTAGTGGACCAACCTGCTGTTCAACAAGTTTGTGCAATGATCCAAGAACAACAACTACAACTGCTACCCCAACAACTACAACAGTGACACTAACTACCACAACCATGGCACCAACAACTACAACAGTGGATCCAACATCCACAACTGTTGCACCAACAACAACATTGGCACCAACTACAACTATGGCAACAACCACCCCAACTGTTGCACCAACCAGCACAACATTGGCACCAACAACCACAACAGCTGCACCAGCAACCACAACAGTGGCACTAACAGCTACAACTGCTGTACCAACAACTACAACAGTGACACCAACTACCATAACTTTTGCACCAACCACCACAACTCCAGCAACAACTACTGCTGCACCAAAAACAACAACTGCACCAACCACCACAACTGCTGCACTAACAACCACTACAGCTGCACCAACAACTACAACAGTGGTAACAACCACCACAACTGCTGAACCTACAACCACCACTGTTGCACCAACACCAACTACAGCTATGACACCCACCACCACAACTGTTGCACAAACTACCACAACGGCAATACCAATGACTACAACAGTGGCACCAACTACCACAACTTTGGAACCAACCACCACAACTGCAGCAACAACAACAACAAGTGCTGCACCAACATCCACAACAGCTGCACCAGCAACCACAACAGTGGCACTAACAACTGCAACTGCTGTACCAACAACTACAACAGTGACACTAACTACCACAACTTTTGCACCAACAACTACAACAATGGCAAAAACCACCACAACTCCTGCATCAACCTCTACATCTGCTGCCCCAACAACTACAACATTGACACAAACTACAACTGTTGCACCAACCAGCACAACATTGGCACCAACTACCACAACTGTTGCACCAACCACCACAACCATCAAACCAACAACTACAACAGTGACACCAACTAACACAACTTTTGCACCAACAACTACAACAGTGGCAAAAACCACCACAACTCCTGCATCAACCTCTACATTTGCTGCCCCAACAACTACAACATTGACACAAACTACAACTGTGACAGCAACCACCACATCTGCTGAACCAACAACCACAACGGCTGTGCCAACATCAACACCAACTACAACTGTGACACCAACCACCACATCTGCTGCACCAACAACCACGACTGCTGTGCCAACATCAACACCAACCACAACTGTGACACCAACCACCACAACTGTTGCACCAACCAGCACAACATTGGCACCAACTACCACAACTGTTGCACCAACCACCACAACCATCAAACCAACAACTACAACATTGGCACCAACTACCACAACTGTTGCACCAACCACCACAACTGCAGCACCAATCACAACTGCTGCACCAACAATGGCACAAACTACTGCAACTGTTGAACCATCTACCACAATGGCTGCACCAACCCCCACATCTGCTGCACCAACAACCACGACTGCTGTGCCAACATCAACACCAACCACAACTGTGACACCAACCACCACAACTGTTGCACCAACCAGCACAACATTGGCACCAACTACCACAACTGTTGCACCAACCACCACAACCATCAAACCAACAACTACAACATTGGCACCAACTACCACAACTGGTGCACCAGCAACCACAACTGCATCACCAACAACAACAACATTGACATCAACTACAACTGTGACACCAACCAGCACAACTGCTGCACCAACAACCACAACTGCTGCACCAACAACCACAACAGTGGCACTAACAACTAAAACAGTAGCACCAACAACTACAAAAGAGGCAACAACCACCACAACTGCTCTGCCAACCTCTACATCTGCTGTCCCAACCACCACAACATTGGCACCAACTACCACAACTGTTGAACCAACCACCACTACTGCAATACCAACAACTACAACCGTGGCACCAACTACCACAACAATCACACCGACAACTACAACAGCAGCAACAAGCACCATGACTGCTGTAACAAAAACTACAACAGTGACACCAGCAACCACAACTTTTGAACTAATCACCACAACTGCAGCACCAACCACCACAACTGCTGCACCAACCTCTACATCTGCCGCCCCAAACACTATAACTGTGGCAACAACTACCACAAATGTGGCGCCAGCAACCAATACGGCTGCACCAACAACAAAAACATTGACACCAACCACAACTGTTACACCAACCACCACAAGTGCTGCACCAACCACAACTATAATGGCAACAATTACGACAACTGTTCCATCCACTACATCTTCTACCCCAACAACCAAAACAGTGGCACCAACAACCACAACTGCTGAACCAACAACAACATTGGCACCAACTACAACTGTAGCTCCAACCACAACAACTGCTGCACCAACCACTACAGCTGGTGCCCCAAAAACTACAATAGTTTCACCCAAAACCACAACAGCTGCACTAACAACCACAGCGGCTACAAGGACAACAACAACTGCTGCACCAACCACCACAACACTGGCACCAATTCCGACAACTGTTGCACCAACCACCACAACGGCTGCACCAACCACTACATCTTCTGCCCCAACAACTACAACAGTGTCACCAACAACCACAACTGCTGCATCAACAACAACATTGGCACCAACTACAACTGTGGCTCCAACCACCACAACTGCTGCACCAACCACTACAACTGCCCCCCCAACAACTACAACAGTCGCACCAACAACCACAACTGCCGCACCAATTGCCACAACTTCTGCACCAACCACTACAACATTGGCACCAATTACGACACCAGCTACACCAACAACCACAAAGGCTGCAATAACAAGAACAACTACTGCACCAACAACTACAACATTGGCACCAAAAACCACAACTGCTGCACCAACCACCAAAACTGATGCGCTAACCACATCTGCTGCTCCACCTTCCCCAACTGTGGCGCCAACTGCAACAGCGGCATCAACAACCACAATGGCTGTACCAGCAACTGCAACAGTAGTGCTAACTACAACAACAGTGGCACCAGCAACCACTGCAACAGTAGCACCAGCAACTACAACAGGGACACCAGCAGCCACATCTACATCATCCATGGCATCCCAGTCAGCCACCACCAGTAGTGCTTCCAGCGTCTCCATGGGAACACTTCATCTCTTACTTTTATTAACTGTGGTCTTTCTGTAAAAATCTTTACAAAATTAAAAGCATTGCATAAATTGTAATTAAGAAACGATTAGTCACAAATGTAACAGAAGTATGTTTTCGACCTATTATGTGTTCCTTTGATTGATTTTATTTAGTGAAATGGCGTGCTCAAAGATCATCCTGCACATTTTGAGTATTTTTGGCTTAACCTACTTCTTTGAAGCAGGATTCTCCACCATGACAATAATCAAAAAAAATATTGATCCAGGCCCACCAATGAGCACCTTGGGAATTGCTTTGTCTCCATTCAAAAGAAGGTTTAAATCCTTGCAGGGCAGCCTAAAGCCCACTGCTCTCATTAAGCCATATAAAAGAAAAAAGTTGAGTCAGGATATTGTCTATATACCAAACAAAGATTGTTGTTCTCTACTTCAAAAACAATTTAGATTTTAAGATGCAAAAAAGTCTATTCTTTATATTTTTTTAATCAAAATTACAATGTACAATATGGATGCATACACACATGCATTTTATTTCAGTGTTAAATGCTGTTCAAAGTAACAGACTATAATTAAAAATGTCCCCTGACCTTTACTGGTTGTTGTTTTTGTTTTGTTTTCAGACCCCGCTGATTTTTAATTTGTTACCCCTGACTTAGAGAAATACTGTTGAAGAATGTAGTGTAGTCATCTTTGATTTTTAAGGCATTACTTTTCATGTTTTTTCTGCAGGGTACTAAAATGTAAATTCTGCTTCAGGTACCAGACCTGAAGCCACTCTAAATAAAATAGAGTTTTAGCTTACTCAACAACTAAGCTTTTTCAATGGTTAAACACTGAAAAATAGAAAGGAACGAGACTTCAGGGAAGGTATCATATGTTTGCTATGTAAAGTGATGCTCTCTGTATCTCCGTTTTTGTTTCTATGGAACAGAAATGGGAGTGTCTACAGGCTTTGTGATCAAGAGGATTGACATTTTAGATGTGATTAATTCATCTCTGTTACAGGGATATGTACCAAAGACTTTTAAGGTTGCTGTAATTAAACCTTTGCTCAAGAAACTGTCTCTTGACCCAGATGAATTGGTCAATTACAGACCTATATCCAATCTTTCTTTCTTATCTACAATTCTTGAGAAAGAACTCAATTCTTGAGAAAGTTGCTAAACAAGTGTGTGATCACTTACACCAGAATTAACTTTTTTAAGAGTTTTTTAAGTACTTTTGAAGAGGTTTAGAGCTCATCATAGTACTGCAACAGTGCTGGTGAATGTTGCCGATGATATTTTCATGGCCTCAGATAATGGACTCGTATCTGTGCTCGTCCTGTTAAATCTTAGTGCTGCATTTGATACAGTTGATCATAATATTCTTTTGGAAAGACTTGAATATTTTGTTGGAATTAAAGGAACAGCACTAGACTGGATTAAATCTTATCTATCTGATCGATTTCAGTTTGTTCATGTTAATGACAAATCTTCCTCATGTTCAAAGGTTACCTGTGGAGTAACACAGGGATCAGTGCTAGGACAAATTCTCTTTACTTTATATATGCTCCCAATTGGTAGAGTTATTAGACAGCATGGGATTAATTTCCACTGTTATGCTGATGATACTCAGATATATCTGTCTATAAATCCAGATGAAGCTAACCCATTACATAGATTAAAGGGATGTCTTGACGACATAAAAACCTGGATGACTCTTAACTTTCTCCCTCTGAATACAGACAAAACAGAAGTTATAGTCTTTGGACCAGAGTCTTTGAAAAATAAGTTGATTAGTCAGTCACTTCATTTGGATGGGATTAAACTAATTTCAGAAAATGAAGTAAAAAATCTTGGTGTTCTTTTTGATCGGGACCTGTTATTTAAATCCCATATCAAAGAGGTTTCTAGAATTTCCACCTTTCAGCTGAATATTGCAAAAATTTGAAAGAGCATCACCTCAGCATCACCCCCTGTCCAGGAGTGATGCGGAGGAACTAGTCCATGCTTTGTTACTTCAAGGCTGGACTATTGTAATTCTTTACTATCAGGAAGTCCACAAACTGTAGTTAAAAGCCTTCAGCTGATCCAAAATGATGCAGCCAGAGTTCTGATGAAAATGAAAAAGAGAAATCATATCTCTCCTATCCTGGCTTCTCTTCATTGCCTTCCTGTTAAATCCAGAATAGAATTTAAAATCCTCCTTCTCACATATAAAGCCTTAAATGGCCAAGCTCCATCTTATATCAGAGATCTGATTGTTCCTTATGTTCCCAACAGAGCACTTTGCTCTCAATCTGCAGGTTTACTAGTGGTTCCTAGAATTTCTAAAAGTAGAATGGGAGGCAGATCTTTTAGTTATCAGGCTCCTCTCCTGTGGAACCAACTACCAGTTTTAGTCCGTGAGGCAGAAACCCTGTCTACTTTTAAGGCTAGGCTTAAAATTTTCCTTTATGATAAAGCTTATAGTTAGAGTGGCTCAGGTTATCCTGAGCTATCTCTATAGTTCTGCTGCTATAGGCTTAGACTGCTGGAGGACATAAGGAACCCCATTTCATCATTCTGCTTCATTCTATCTCTAATCTCCCACTCTGCAGAATCTGTTAGTTCAATCTCTACGTTCTGCTCGCTCTGCTTTTTCTCATAGTAGCTTCATCTGGTCTGTTCCTGTTTGGCTGTGACTCCATCCTGGAGAGAAATATCAGCTCTGCTGCAGCCATCAACACCTTTGTTTATAGATGTTGGAGATCAACCTGTTTTCCAGTGTAGTCCTGTTTCTCTGACTGTGACTCCTGGATGTGCTCTCTTCACCCTCTTACAGTTGACTCGGAGCTCGTCTGCCTGGCTGTTTGTTTTCTGGACGGGGCCGCCTTTTATAACTGCTTTTTGTATGTCTGCTTCTGTCTCCTTGAACCTCAGTCGGCCTCAGCAGATAGCCGTTCACACTGAGTCTGGTTCAGCTAGAGGATTCTTCCTGTTAAAAGGGAGTTTTTCCTCTCCACTGTCGCTTCAAGCATGCTTAGTGTGAGGGATTGCTGAAGAGTCAATGAGTCAATGCAATCAATTGGTTTGTCTTAGATAGAAAACTTTTAATCATTTTGACTGTATGATCTGGTTGAACTGTAAAATGTCTTGAGGTGACATGTGTTGTGAATTGGTGCTATATGTATAAACTGAATCAAATTGAACTGAATTAAATGCATTGCTTCTACTTGGCTCTGAATGGGCATCATCCATCCATCCATTTTCTGACACACTTAATCCCAAGTGGGGTCACGAGGGGTGCTGGTGCCTATCTCCAACTGTCTACGGGCAAGAGGCGGGGTACACCGTGGACAAGTCACCAGTCCATTGCAGGGCAACACAGAGACAAACAGGACAACCATTCATGCACACACTCACAACTAAGGAGAATTTAGATATCCCGCTTGACCTAACAGTCATGTTCAATACTCTCCTCCCTCATTTCTACCAACTTGTGGACTTTGCAAATTGGAGTCAAAACATTATATATCTGGTTTACTTTATCATTAAAGATTCATACAGAGCAGCCCCCTCCCCCACCTCGGGTCATCTGATCACCTTTCTGTCATGCTAATTACTACATACAGGCCCCAGCTCATAAGGGCCAAGCCAACAGTGAAGCAGGTCAGGGTGTGGACTGAGGGGGCCATGGAGAAACTCCAGGACTGTTCTGAATGCTCTGGAATATGTTAAAAAGCTGCAGAGCTACATATGACAACAAGATAAATATAGATGAAGATGTTATGACCCTGTCAGCTTACATCAACAAATGCATTGAGGATGTCAGCATCATAAAGAACATCACCAGTTTGACAATCTAGTCTGCCTATATCAAAATAGGTACAATAGAAATGTCATAAGAATCAATGACATTGTTTTAGGTTCTTCTACTAATTCTTTTTTTTATCAGAAACATGTATAAATTGTGTAAAATATGCAATGAGACAAAAACAATCTACAAGGTTTTGCAGTCTTTTGATCTACTGGGTTGAGTGTTTGGATGAAATGTATGTATACCATGGACAGATTCATTTTCCTGCATTTATCAAACAACAAATGTCCAGACATTGGGTGTGATGCAACAATATTTTGATATTCCCATTGTAATATCCCCGTCAAATCAAGACTATAAAGATCAGAGAATGTGTTTTCTCATTCACCCTAGCCTGTATCTTCTCCATAGTTGGGGTACACACGTGCAACTTACAGATGAACTTCTTTTTAATCAGCTGAATAATTAAAATTTGTTTTTGGAAGCATGAACATGAAAAAATGTCTCTTTACAGGCTCATGTGCTAAAAAAACAAACCCAGAAAAATGTTTCTGTGCTGCGGATACTCTGCAGGGGCTGCTTTTCTGGACAATCAGCTCAGCATTTCCGGAAGAGGATCCTCAGCACAGGTTCGATAAAATCAAGACAAACATAGACAGTAATCCTATGCCAAGGTGGACTTTGCTTGATGAGAAAAATCTTCATCAAATAAACGTTCTTTATTTTTGGTTTACAGCATCTGATTAGCCATTGTTTAATGTTCCACCAATAAAACACACAATAATGTAATAAAGCTCACGTCTTTACAATAAACGTATGTCGAATTGTCAAAACATCCTCTTTTTATTCAAAAGACATCTCTACGCTTCAAAATTTTTTTCTTAAGGATTGCATTACGTTTCAGGTATATCTTTTTTTTTAATCAAACATTTTGAACAAATTAACAAAATCATGTGGTTGTCATGGTGTCTGTGTGTGGCTGAGACTTCAGGTTTCCCTACAGATCTCCAATTGGAGGGCGTGCCAACCCGACAGGTGACTCACCTGTATGGGGACAAAATTGTTGCTTTATTATCTACAAATGTGTGTGGAGAGTTGTATATCTGTATCTCGATTTGTGCGTGTGCAGGGGGATTTGAAAATTTGTAAATGAAACTGTAAATGTGTGAGGAGATTTGTGTGTCTGTACAACAATCTGCAAATGTGTAAAACTACTTGTGTGTGTGTAATCTGGTTTGCAAATGTGTAAAAAATCCACAAATCTGTGTTCAGATCTACAAATCTGTAGTAAGATTTTCAAATGTTTAGAACAATCTGTAAGCACACACAGAGACACTGTGTCCGAAGTATTTTCGCTTCAACACCCAGAAATACAGACACATCATTGGATACAAGTCCAGCGGTTCCTCAGTTGGCGCTCTTTACACACATGATTTTTGCTACACTTCTGCCGTATGAGATGCACAAATGCGTAAAAGGATTTGTATCTGTAATATCTGGATTTGCT